ACCACTAGGTCAAATGCTAGCTCCTAGGTGGCCTTCACACTGCACCACTCAGAGCCAGCAAGCCTTGAGGAATTGCCCCAGAGTGCTGGGGCACAGCACAGCTCCACAGACAGTGGCATGAATCAGCTGGTGTTAACCAAGTGCCCAGGCCCAGGCTTTAGGTACTTCCACCAGGTGTAAGAAGACAGGATCCACAACCACAAAGACATGGACTACAACGAATCTTATGTAGAACTTAGCACATAACTTAGGGCCTTAAATACACACAGCAAACTTTTGGTGAAAGAACCAAGAGATCCAAACACCAGTGAGACCTGAAGGGATAGGAGGAAAAAGTGCTGTGGCAAAGCGGGCTAAATCTCTACCTGTGGCACCAATATCCCATACGGGCACCAGTTCAGGGCCTGGCTGTTTCACTTCGGATCCAGCTCCCTTTTGGTGGCCTGGGAAAGCAGCAGAAGATGGCTCAAGTCCTGGGTTCTGTGCCCATGTGGGAGAACTATGGGAAACTCCTGGCTTCTGGGCCCAGCTTTGGCTGTTGGAGCCCTTGAGTGAATCAGCAAAGGAAGAGCTCTGTCTCTCCTTCTCTCTTGGTAACTCTGCCTTTCACCTTCCAAATAAAAATAAAATTTTAAAAGCGGGGGGCGTGGGAGTGGGGAGAAATTGAAACTGGGCAAGAATTCCGCAGGGTTTTGGCTGGATGGTAACAGTGTCCGTGGAGCCTCCTCACCCTGCAGGCCCTTGGCTGCACTGAGTGGCACCATCACAGCACATCCGTCCTTGCCTGGGAAAGACCCCTATGATTGTAAACATACGATTTTCTGATTGTTTGTTTAGAGCATTGGCAGTTGTGCATAGATCCAGCAAACACACGATATTTATAAGACAGAAGACTGTGGTAGTCATATCTACTCAAATCCCTGTTCCCCAGAGGACCTATTCCTGATATTCACCACTTCACCTCAGGCCATTATTCCCACCCCTGCCTTCCATGGCACCATCTGCTTACAGAAAACACCACTACATGCCGCTAGGTCACCTGCAGTGCAGGCATCCTAAATGGATGCTGGTTCAGTCTCAACTGCTCCACTTCCAATCCAGCTCCCTGCTGGTGACCCTGCGAAGACAGCACAGGATGGCACCTGTCCTTAGACCCTTGCACCCATGCAGGAGATCCAAAGAAAACTCTTGGCTTCAGATTAGTCCAATCTGCTGTTTTGGTCATTTGGAGAGTGAATCAGCAGATGGAAGGTGTCTCCTCTCCTCTTCTCTCTCTCTCTCTCTGGCTCTTTCTCTAACTCTGCCTTTTAAACAGATAGATACATCTTTAGGGGAAAAAAAATAGAAATGGTCCCTGTCTTCAAAAACAGCTTAAAATCTAGGGGAGGAGTGAAAAAAAAAAAACATAAAGCAATGAAAGGATAAGCGAACACTGTATTGCTGTTAGGAGTGCAACAGGGACTTGGGAAGAGTTTTCAAGTGGGGCCTGGCACAATGGCTCAACTGGCTAATCCTCCCCCTTTCAAGAGCTGGGATCCCATGTGAGCTGATTCATGTCCCAGCTGTCCTACTTTCCATCCAGCTCCCTGCTTGTGGCCCGGGAAAGCAGTAGAGCACAACCCAAAGCCTTGGGACCTGAACCCATGTGGGAGATCCAGAGGAGGCTTCTGGCTTCGGATTAGCTCAGCTTTAGTCATTACATTCACTCGGGGAGTGGGCCAGAGGATGTAGGATCTTTCTCTCTGTCTCTCTTTTTCATTGCAAATATATCTTTAGATTAAAAATAAAACACTAGGAGGGTTTTCAAGTGGATGAGACCAGTTATGGATTCTCCAGGTGAGGATGGGGAGGGGACTGGCATGAAAGGGGAAAGTGAGGATGGCGGGAAAGACTGCAGGTGCAGAAGCAGGAGTACACACTGCGGACAGGAAGTCTACCTGCTTACAGCATCCTTGGGGCGGGGACAGGGAGGGGAAGGGTGAGCTGAGGTCATCAGGCTGGGGTGGGGCAGCATGCAACAGGCACTGCAGGCAGACGGAAAGTGCTGCTTCACTCTGATACTCCTCACGCTGCACTAGAAGGAGTCCCAGTGGGCTCCCCACCCGAACTTGTCTGGGCATAGCACAAGAGCAGAAGGAAAAGAGATTATCACTAACATGCATACAGGAGGGTACTTCAGTTTGTAGGAATGGAATTAAAAGTGAAAGCTTGCTTTGGTGAAAGAGAAAAAGAAAACTTTCGAAATCCATACATATATATATATTATTTATTACTGGAAAGGCATATATACAGAGTGGAGAGAGACAGATGGTTCACTCCCCAAGTGGCCACAATGGCTGGAGCTAAGCTGATTCGAAACCAGGAGCCAGGAGCTTCTTCCGGGTCTCCCACGCGGGTGCAGGGTCCCAAGGTTTTGGGCCATCCTCAACTGCTTTCCCAGGTCACAAGCAGGGAGCTGGATGGGAAGTGGGGCTACCGGGAATAGAACTGGCGCCCATATGGGATCCCTGCACATTCAAGGTGAGGATTTGAACAGCTACAGGCCCCATACATATTTTTTCGATTCACCTTGGGCCCCATATATATTTTTTTGGTAACACATATTTTGCCTGAAGTTTTTGAAAACCACTTTGTACATACAAACAAAAGATGCTGCCAACAGATTAATTCCCCTGTTGATTCACCTAAAACCCATCAATGTGACCCCAACTCCCAAGTTTAAGTAGCTTTACTATAATATGATGAAGGCTTCACAGCGATTTGCATGATAATTTTGAAATAGTTTTGTGGAGAAAGCTTCTGGAATTTCCTCTCTCCAAATTGTGAGGAATTGTAGGACTCACACAGCTTTCTCATAGCTTCATTCAGATAGCCCTAGGTAGACTTGCCAAGGTCAAACCACCAGTGAGACAAGGGCAGTCCGTCCAGCATCACATGGTTCCCATGGCCCATGTGGACACTAACTCAGGCAAGCCGAGTCCAGGATGTCCCCAGATCTAGGTCCCTATTAGTGAGGCAGCCCCTCACTCCATAAGGACACAGAGAAATGTCAGAGAGCGGTGTAATTGGCATACTCTGAGAATAACACAAGTATTTTCACAAGCTAAAAGCTGTGCTGAGAGGTTTGTCTCTTAAGTCCCAGTGGTTTTAATATAGCATTGTCAGCCCGTCCCTATTAAAAAGGCAGGAAGTGAAAGACACTGATTAGAATAAAAAGTGACAGGAGGGTGTGCATCAGCCACTTCCATTTAATGCATATTTATAATTCCATCAGATGGACATATTTACTATAAACAGTTGAAAAACCACAGCAAAGTCATTCATTTAAATGCCAGAAAAATAGTAAAAGATGCTAATTTGACCTTAGTGGAACAGATCGGGTGTCACTGACACTTAACTCACAATGGCTTGAAACAATTTATAGAGACGATTAATTAGACTTTTCTGGATTAGGTCAAAAGCATCTCAAATGAAGGAGGAAAAAAAAAACAAAACAACAGCAACAGAGCAGGGAGAAATATGAGTTTAGATTTTTGTCACAACCTTTTTGAGATCACGGACACAATTTAACTCCTAGTGTATGCCTCTCTAAATGAACAGGCCTGGAGGAAAAGAGTAACCACTGACCCCTGAGATTTCTACCTTTGGGGACCAGGCAGAACAATACAAGCCACAGTGCGGGAAAGGACGGGTCACTGAGTGATGGAACAGGACAAAGCCGTTCTGGCTCTGTCATTCAAACAGCAGCTGAGCTGAGGAAACGATGCAGCCCTCGCGACGGCAAGCTTAGCAAGCCAGGAAGGCTTTTATGAATCGTGCAGTGGCTTGCACCAGGAATTTCTGCTCGCAACATCTTGAGGCATTTAGGGATCACGCAGTCCACACTTCTAAACCAACCACAAATTCCCTCTTGCGGGAGGTGGGGGGATTAGGGTCTCTGTGAGCAGGAGGGTTGCTCGTTTTACAAACTCTGCAACTAGCCACTCACGCCCCATCGCAATAAAGATCCCACCTGACTTGTGGGTCACACTCGCAGCATCTGTGACCACCACTACTTAAATATGACAACCATCGCACACTCTGCCTTTGCCAGCCAAACAACACTTTGGCCGAAGATGAATGAATTAACCTCTCTCCGGCACAAGAGGATCTCACTGCCACTCTTAATTCTTTCTAATAACAGCTTTGGGACACAGCTCCAAGCCTTACAGGACGTACACACATTCATACACACACACACAAATACACCACACAAATCCCTCCATACGACATTCTTCTCAATTACACTGACCTGGCAAGGCTCCCTAACAAATTCTTGCTACATGAATACAAAATCATTCAAGTCTACAGGAAGCACAGCGAGCACAAAGAAGTGACAGTCAATCAGAAATGAGCAAAGAGAGTGGGTCCCTGTCATTCAACTCTCAAAAGCCACAGCTTGAAGGATAAAATGGCCCGTCGTTCCCAGGAGATTTCCTCACTACAACAGGGAGTAGTAGTGACACTTGTGATGCCCAAGAGAATTTGTTTGATTTGGTATGGGGAACGCAGACTCAAAGTTTTGAAAACTGCGGATGGTGACGTATATAATTTTGTGGGGATTTTTCACCCCATCAGGCAGGGAAGGAAAGCATGCTCAACAGTTAATATCTCCCTTCTACGTAGGAAAAAAACAGATGGAAACAAGGAAATTGGTCTCTAGTTTTCAGTAGGGTTAGCTTTTCCTCGCACACCGATGCCTATGGCCTCCACAGTTCTGGTCATCACAGCCTTTCTACCTGCATGGAACCCGGTGGGGCACAAAGTGCTGTCTCTTCAGTTCACAGACCACAATGCAGACTCCTCCCGGCAAAATGAAGAACAAAACACAGGAGTGCCATGCGTCTTACTGTCACCATACTAAACTTCAAGTTTCCCCAAATAACCCTCCATCATTTTCTTTAAAGAAACCAACAATAAAACCTGCAAATTTTGTGCAGCAAATGCAAAAGATAACTTACTTGTTAGCTTGTTGTGGCTCAGGACCAGCTGTGTGATATGGGACAAAGTGACTGTAAAAAGGAAGAAAAAAAAATCATAGTTAGTTTCATATCCGTTTTATACCCTTACTCCAAAGTGAGCTGTTAAATTATCTTCCCAGGTTGCAGTGCTCCCTACCATGCAGCAAAACAGAAGCTAACAATCATACGATACTATCCTGGTGTATGTTACAGCAAATGAAGAAAAGTCATGCAATTAACAGTTCAATTAGCACACCAAGTTAGTGCTAATGAGATCGATGTCACAGGGTCGGGCAACACGAGGGCTGGTGAGCTGTGCCTGGGACCTGACCCACTGGCAGAGCCTTAATGATCCATCTCAATAAAGCTTGTCACTCAGAGGAGCTGGCTGAGGGCCCCGCCTGTGCTGCAAACTCAGCAGCGGGATGGAAACGGACCACGGGCCGAAAGGCCGCCGAGCACATGGCTGTGTGTCCATCGTCCGCCTGCAAATCCTTCTGCACGCTGTTCAACGGTCTGTTGAAGAACCTTCCACCATTCTCCCTAGTCATATTTTTGGTTGACATTTCAAAGCACTAATGTGAAACACTGAGTGCTTGCCAGTTTCAAACACTGTTATGGAAATTTAATCTGTTCAACAAGATTAGATTTGCTTATAGAATGGTTTTTCTTCCTGAAAGAATCATTTTTCTAAATTAAAAAAAAAAACATAGGCACAAATTTGTATTTTTAAGTGACTTGCCTCCTACTTCAGATTCTAAAACTTTTCTTACACACACACACACACACACAATACAGGGCCTCTAAAGAGTTGGTGGACAATATATCATGAAAAAATTAAGCAAGAAATGTCAAAAACTTTTCTGCACCAAAATCAACTTATCCATAATTTCATTTCTCTACAAACTTTCTGAAAGTATCCTCAGACACGCATCCATACGCAAGAGGATGACTTTAAGTGCTTTCTGACCACAAACTTTATGTCAACAATATTCTATGCTAACATAGTAAGAGCTTTTTTTCCTTAAAGAGAGGATATGACATAAATTTTTCCCTGGAAGGGTCTCATTGTTGGACCCTAGATGCGCATGACTCCTGACTACACATTTGTGTGTGTGTGTGTGTGTGTGTGTGTGTGTGCATATGCATGTGTTTTGATTGAATTTATTTGATTGTTTGATTTGAAAGGCAGAGTTAGAGAGAGGGGAAGAGAACAAGACCAGAGAGAGAACTCATCTAGCAACTGACCATCTCCCAATTGGCTTCAATGACCCGGGCTGGGCCAGGAGGAAGCCAGGAGCCAGGAGCTTCCCCCTGGATCTCCCATGTGGGAGACACCATATTTCTCACCAAACTGCACTTATTTGTGCATTTCACAGTCCTCCATCAGAGCAGTCGGCCCCTTCTGTGACATTTGGCAATGTGTGGAGACAGATTCTAACAACTGTGATGTTCCTATCGGGTGCCACTGGTCCAGGCAGTGGTTCAGTGGGTGGAGACCAGGGAAGGCCAAAGAACATTCTACATAGCACAGGGCAGTCCAACTAACTATAAAGAGTTACCATCCAGCCATGTAATGGCATGCAATGGTAGTGTTGCCAAGAAAGCACATTCTCAATTCCTATTTGTAGGATTTTGGAGTTTCCCATTCTAATCAGTGGTTTGTAATCTATAATTTTTTTAAAAAATTTATTTTTTTTTTAGTTTTATTTGAAAGGTTGAATTTCAGGGGAAGAGAAATAGGGGAGAGAGAGAGAATCTTACAGCTACTGGTTCATTCCCCAAATGGCCGCAATAGCCAGAGCTGGGTCAACCTAGAGCAAGGAGCCAGCAGTTTCTTCTGGGTCTCCCATGTGAGTGCAGGGGATCAAGAACGTGAGCCACCTTTGGCTGCTTTCCCAGGTACATTAGCAGGAAGTCAGATAAGAAGTGGAGCATCCAGGACACAAATTGGCATCCACAGGGGATGCTGGCACCATAGGCAGAGGCTTTGCCTACTATGCCATGGCTCTGGCCCCTATAATCTACCATTATTATTAATGCTGATCTTCAAATTGTCTCTGATGTGACCTATGAAAGTCCAACTAAGCTGGCTCCCTAGTCCTTGGGACATACTCCATCATGCTTTGAGTGCTTCCTTGCCTTCTGGTATAAGACATTCAAGTTCATCTTGGATTTCTGCCACAGTTCACCCAGTAACTCCAATTCCAATATATCATTCATTCTACTTTTTTCTTTCCATATTGACAATTTCCTTCTCTAACAAAGACAACAGTGTCTTGCATGGCCTTCAACTGATTTGCTTATGGACTGACACCCCCTTGTGTAACAGCACAGAATACAGCTTTCTTCTAATAAGACCAAGTGAGTGCTCTACTCATCTCTAGGAACACCTGGAAAGTCTGGAACTGATTCTGCGTCGAGACATGGACAAACAGAAACTGCTCCATCCCCTGGCTCTAGCACCAGCTTGTTTACACTGTCTAGAGACACGTGGGTCATGCACTCAATAGAGCCTAGAGTGGTGACACGGGCAGTCAGGCACAACACATACTGTCATCCAGAAGCCCATCACCCAGATGCCTCACATGTGGCTCGACGGCTTGCACTCCAGAGACAAGACATGCCCTCAGGCCGGGCAACAGCACCAGGGAGCCTCCAGCACCTCTGCAGGTGCTTGCCTGCGCTTGTTTCTCACTCAGCTGTCTCCTGTGCTTCTGGTAGGCTCTAGAGAATCCAGAGGGACTGTTCAATGGCCCGACACACACACCGCTGCAGTGACCACTCCCCTGCCCACCTGCTTCCTCATTCAACCAGGATGCTCTCCCCATGCTGCCCGGGCTCCCTCCTGGCCACGCTAAGGGACACTCTTCATACCCACTCGGACTTGGGACTCCACCCTAAAGTCACCCTGATGTCTCTTTAGGACTGACTTGATGGGGAACAAGGAGAAGAGACCACGGCCAGGGGTAGGATGGGCAGAGTGGCAGAGGCATATCTGTGCTTTTAGAAGCTGCAGAAACCCTCACCCATCTTTACTTTAAGAGTATAGATTTTCTTGTCCAATAAACAAAGTGTTTCTCTCTCCCTGAAACGTATGGTCTGACGCAAGAGTAAACGAACTTAAATAAATAAATCCCTCCCGTGAAACAGGATTAGATAAGATTCACAGCTGTATCAGGTAGGATTGTGCTCCGCTTCATGGGACAACAAGCCTCAGTTAATGGGGTGACACAGAACAGCAGTTCTTCTCTCCTATACATCAAGGCTCAGCCAGCGCCCCCACGTGGCTCCCCGCTTGTTCTGCGCTCTATGCCTGGGTTCCTGTGCTGCAGCTCTCATGAGTGCGGGTAGGAGGGCTGGGGACAATGACGTTTTTTGAGTGATTAAGTCCTGAAGGGCCAGCTTTCCCAAATGGACTTAGTGTCCTTGTGGGAAAGGACAGGAGAAGGACAATCTCTCTGCACCACGGAAGGACACACCAGGAAGGTGGCCAAGAAGAGGGTCTGCCAGGCACCAAACCTGAGGACATTATGACCTTGTACTTGGCAGTTTCCTCAACTCTCAACGTATTTCTGTTGATTCAGAGAGCCTAAACAAAGCCATACCTTCAGGTCTAACATCACTGCCTGAGCTCGGCCATCAGACCTTCACTCCCCTCAGGAAAAAAGTAAAGAGAAAAAACCTTCCTCAGTGAGGAAGTCATGCTACATGTGGTATTTCCACTTACAAATCATCACCTGAAACACAGTAATATAGTGACGCCTGCTAACAGGGACCTAGATGACCATGAGTCATCAACTGGAGGAGTGGGTCGGTTAGGATGGGGCACACTGAGCTGGGCAGGCAGTCTCTCATCCTGGAAACTCCACCTGCAACCGCACCACTCAACTCTGCGTGCCGGAGATTCTCCTATCTTAATTTTTCCCAGAATACCTCAAGTTACTAATTAAAATTTAAAAATATATATATAAACTGGCTTTCCCCAATGAAGAGCAAAGTTCACCATGACAGATTTAATTAGGCCAAACTGGCTCTTTTCAATCACCCCCACCCCCTGTGTCATTTCAACAAACAGAAGGAGAGAAAGTGACAAAATGAAAGCTATTTTCTTCTTCTTTAATAAAGTACAGAAATTCAGTCACTGCTTCACTTGATCACACCACTAAAATGTATTTTTCTCACAATCGTTACAGGCCTCCACACTAAACTAGGTGAGGGAGAGGAAAGAAGCAAATGAGACTGTAGAGGAAGATATGTAGGACAACAAAGCAACACAGGCTGGATCTATAGGGGAGGGCTGCAAAGTTGGACAGAATCAAGACACAGCTACAAAGCCAGGGCTTCAAGACCTGGCATCTCCCCTCTTCCAGCAAGGGTCTGTTCATGGTGAGTCCTCTATGGAAACTGCATGGAAAAAAAGAAGAAACAGTCTACCAAAATAGAGCAGGTTATGGAAAAGCACAAAAGCTGTGCCCAACAAGGCATGGGGAACACGCAAGCAGGCTGCAGCCACTGCCTTCCCACAGCCACTGACCACAGCAGAGTTCCCACTGCGTAAAAGAGGGATGCTCCTGGCCCTGCTGACCCTACACCGCTCACACTGGGGAAACAATTGATCATCCGCATTCCTAAAGCAATCCTTAATGCCGCTTGACTTAGGTATTTGCAGAAACAAATCCGTTTCACAATTGGATGCAACTAGGAAAATGTGTTGCTAGTCACAGTTCCGTGTCACAGTCCCTAGGCTATCAAGCTATTTCTGGACTCTTTCGAGATGTCTGAGTGAATATTAAGTCACACCAAGATGGACAGTGAGAAAAATTATCGAGGGGAGGAAAGTGTTTGCAGGGAAAACAGATGGAAAGAAACAGGCTGGTTCAGTGATTTCACAAGAAAGATACGGACTCCTCCAGCACTCACTCACTGAGCAGTGATCACTCACTCACTGAGCTCAGTGCCAATAGTCTTTACCATGGAGATGAATGCATGAGGAGACTGGGTCACACATCCTGCTTAGCCTGGGTTGTCTTGGCTTACACCTGCTGTGC